ATCAGCTAGCTCAGTCTGTCACATAAAATTTGCTTGCAAGCAAACTCACAAAATTAACTCACAAGATACCACGTATGTAAATATTGACTTTTTTATAAAAAAGAGCAACTTTTACCCAAAATCAGATAAAGCAGGCAGACTGAGTTGCTCACAGAATCATTCAGTGATCTATCTATCTGCCATCGGCTAGCTCAGTCTCTCAAATTTGCTTGCTGTGAGTCTGCACTGAATTTGCTTGCAAGCAAACCTTCAATCCTAAGGGAGGTTCGGCTGTACTCACAAGCAGAGCCGAAGATCTAAAGACTAGCTAGAAAGCAAGAAATCCAACCATTTTCTGCTTCCTAGCTAATCTAAATCTCCTGGCACAGCAGAACAGCTGATGGTTGGAAAAATAGCAATTTAGCAGGCAAGTTTGCTGGGTAAGGAGTGAGTGGGTAGGGAGGGCTCCTGCGGGTCATGTGGGTGGGACAGCCTTGTGTTTCTGTGCAGCCTGGATTAATTGCTTTTGGGGGGGGGGGTGCTCTGGGGGTGAGATTTCTCTGCGGCCCACCAAAATTTTTTTGTGGCCCACGGCCCACAAGTTGGCAACCGCTGACCTATGGGGTGCTTGGGAATGGACCAAATCACTTTGTTCCCAAATGCCCAACAGGCAACCAAGCACATTTTGCCCAGACAGAGAAATGACAGAGACTCAAAGGTTCGTGTGCTTGCAAAGGGGATGGTTTGAAATGGAGATATTAGTTCAGTTCAAAGTGTCCCCTTTGAAAGCAGACAAGCTGGGCGAAAAGTGTTTGGGCAGCTACCACCGGCTCTGCCCTCTCCGTCCCACTGTCTGCTTGTCTGTGGCCTCAATTGGGGCCAAGCTCTTGGCATGCCCCGGCCTCCACCCGCCCTGCCAGGAGGGAGAAGAGCCCCCTCAAGGCCAGCAGCAGCATGGGCAGCCGCTTGGTGGCTAGCACGGTGCTCCCATGGCCAAGAAGTGCCCAAGCTCTGCCAGTAGAGAAAGGAAAGAAAGGGAAGAGGTGGGCCTACTGCTACAAAAATGTGACAGTGGGCAGAGATGGTCAGCTCATGTTTTGAACAGCCCAAAAGTTACTCCACTTTTGGTACATTATGGGACATTACAGGTATTTTTTTTCATCTGAAGGAAACAAAATCCAAATGATTTAAAAGCTCAACTGGCAATAAGCTGATCTAAAAGTATTAATATCTCTCTACCTGACCAAGGCTTCCATAAAAGCACAAAGTAAAAATAATATTACCTGTTGTTTTCAAACTACTAGTCCCTGCCATGTTATCAGATTACATAACTTTCTAATTGTTTCCATAGCACAATGTTCTTCTCCATGCTATTATAACAGTCTGACTGTAACATATTGTCAGCCATGGTTCAATGGCATGTTCTTCTCCTGTCCACACTGCTGTGAGGTAATAAGATCAAGCTGAGCAGTCATTCTCCATGTTTTTGTTTAATGGGGTGTCAAATCCCACCTACAGCTTAAACTTCAGAGTCTTTTTGCTTTCAGCAAGGCTTTGCAAAGAACGAAAGGAATGACCAAAGCCCTTGCTTTACTCCCATATTTCCTCTCTGCAGACATATATTTCAAAAAAGCTGTTGAAAAAAAGAAAGGCCTGGGTTTTCAAAGGGATAGCTGTGATTGTCTCTGAAAGCAGAAACAATGTGGTGTCTTGTATACCTTAACGATAAACAAACCGATGATGACAGTGTAAGGGTTTGTGATTGACATTCCACTTCATCAGATAAATGGAGCAGTTAGTGAACAGGAGAGAGGATGAATGCAAGAGCTACTGCCAAGTTTCCGAGGACGTTAAATGAGAGCACTGTCTGTACATTAAGCAGAAAAGAGTTCTTACGAAGGGAAAAGAAGAAATAGTAACTATTAGGAATCCTGCAATGATCAAAGGATGTAATTTTGTACATGGCAATAGTAGGCAGAGCCCTGGAAGACTTTACATTCATATTTCAAAACACCAGCTTTCTAGACTTTTTGAGTGGGACTGTAAGCTCAAAATATATGAAAAAAAATTGTTAAACAATCGCAACCAGGAATGCCATGCAGGATTTCCACATGTGATGTGCAGGGGATTTGGTACATTTTCCCCTCTACAGTAGAACAAGCTGTATTACCTTAATTGGCATCACTAGCTGAGCAAACTTAAGTCTTTGTTTAGCTGTCTAGATTTGGGATGCCTGTAACTGTATGCGTCTCTCTCTGTGTGTGTGTCTATAAAAATGCAAATCTTTGAACAACTCCTGTTTAAGATGTCAATGCAACTGCAGTTCTCAGCTAACCCAGTTCTCAGCTAACCCACTGCAAGCCCATTTTCAAGAAGAGAAAGACAATACAATAAATAGAGTATATCAAAGGTCAGGTCCCATAGACTAATCACAATGTTTTATTATTATTTTTTCAGAGAAAATATTCCTATTTTTAGGAATGTTCAAAGGCCATCCACTAAAGGAAATTCATAGAAGAAAATGGCAATGAATGTAAATATTGAGTATAAATAAATAGTTATGGTATTCCCTTTTGGTATATACCCTTTTGAGATCTTAGAAAAAAGTTTTGCATATACATTCAGGATGTTTTTCTTTGTTGATCCTAATCTAATTATCTACTTTTTAAGGGGTAAAAAGGGAATAATAAACATAGAGTCATTTAAGTTTACCTGTGACAAAATACAGACTTTTCTGGATATGGGTCTTGGTTTATTGGCAATAGCATGCTGAGCTTTGAGATATTTTATGTTCCTATTTTGTAAGTAGAAAATTAAGGCTATAGTCCTATATCAATGAAAATGTTCCTTTGAATTCAGCGGAGGTTACATTTGATTAGACATGCAAAACCATATTCTGTCAGCCTGTAATATTTCTATTTACTCCATTGATCACTGACATGATGCAAAGAGCCACAATCAGGGCCCCCAAATCTATTTATGTAATGAAAAAGTCACACTGGGCAAGTGCATATTTATGCGATCCATACTTATGTAATGTATAACCATATTTATAAATTCAATGATGGCTTCCTTCAGAATTGTTTTTGTTTCTCTTTAAATTGGTGATTAGCTGCACTGCTTACAAAAAGCCAAATAGCTATGGAACATGTTGATAGCAAAGGGTGTCAAGGATTAACAAATGCGCCCCATTGTGGTTGTTTATTTCCTTTGTTGTTTCTATGGTTTCAGTGAAGGTTCCCCCCACCCAAGGTTGATGTTAGTATGAAATAAGATGAATACACAAGTTATAGAGTGATGTTTCCCAACAATTAAAGTGATGCCTGTTTCTTCAAAATTGGGGATAAAAAGTGAAAAGACATTCTTTTATTAATAGAAACAGTCTGGCTGAGATATCAAAGCACTGGATTCTTTCATGCTCACTGGAAAATTTCACAAGCTTAATTCCAATACTTAGCAAGATAAAAAGCAAACTTATGTTAATTATATAACTTAAAATGAACTCGGCCTCATGGTTATTCCTCTACTCTGTCAATAGAGCTGTTGAAATTAGCAGATCAGAAATGTGATCACAGCGCCGGAGGCAGAATATTAGTCCACCGAACATACGATTCTTAAAAAAAAATCTTGCTGTCCCCAAAAGCTAATAATGGATAACAGAATTTGATTGCAGATTATAAATTTGTGATGTTATCTGGGGGCTGAATAAAGATAACCAATTGATGCTACTCAAGGAAAGAGCCTTGCATGCTTATTCTTCTCCTTGATCCAGAAACCCTTTTCAGTTTACGTTAAAAAAAACTACAAAAATCTAAAATTTCAGTTTAAAAATGCAGAAATTTTAGCTAATGTGGGTGGGTTAAACAGTCATGATGGTGGCCACTTGATCAAAGTTCCACCCCTTTTTTTACTGCATGTGAACTATGTCAAGAACTCTGTGCAGTTGTGGCTGCCATTTTGACTTTTTTGACCCCTCAAATATACCCTTAACAGAGATATTTTGGACAAGAAAGTATAGTAGTAAAAGGCACACGAAAATATTTCGTGCCCAAACTTCCAATAAATCATAAAGTACTAGGGCAGTTTTCCATATCTACCCTTCCCTTAAGTTTTAAACTATAATTCCCATCATCTCCATTTAGCACTATCTTAAGGTAAAGTTATTAGTCTGGGTTAGCATTATTTAAGAGAAAAACAGCCATCAGAAAGAATCACCAAGCTGATAAATTGTAGCTTGGCTTCTTTGTAGCGGTTTGACCAACACTTATAAATACAATGTATTTCTATTTAAGACTTGTAAAAGTGACTTTTGACCACTTTCAGATAATAGGAAGAGTAATCCTCTACTCCAGTATTTTGGAAACACGCCACTATTGGGTAGGTGTTGGGAAGTCTTGGCAAACTGATCTATATTGCCCTATGAGGATGTTATTGTTAATGCACCCAGATTCTTGGCATTCCCCTCTACTGAACTGGCAAGCATACCTGTGCCCTGCATCTTAGGTAGCCTCTCCCTGCCCTGGCTAGGGAGGATGGGAAATGTTATCCAAGACAAGGTGGCTTTTGGCATCTGTGGGATCCCCGGTGTTGCTGGCTTCCGAGGAAGGCCACTGCACACATCTCAGTTTAGTCTGAGCGTGCAACAGCTACCCTTTCGTTTATTCAATGCGGAGTCCCGAGGTTCCAACATCGCTCGCCTTTGTTGTTCTTATTTCGGATTACAACCCAAAGGCGAGGCGCCGGGTGGGGAAGGATGCTCGCCTGCAGGGAGCAGCGGGAATTCGCGGAGTACCTGCACGACGGAAAGCGCCGAACAGGTAAGCCCGATCAGCAGCCGCCCCACGCGGAGGAAGAGCCTGGCACGAAGTCGCCTCTTTCAACATCACAACGCCACAGTTCCTGCTCAACAGCGCGCACACACGCACGGATACACATCCACAGAGCAGAGCTGGCACCCTGTTCCCTCACCCCCTGAATCTTTAACCCCCGACCGCCTTCCGCTCCTCCGGCCCCGCACTGACCCAGAAGATGAAGTTGAAAAGGAAGAGCAGGAACTTGACGCAGCGCATCCCTCCTTGCACTCGCCCCATGGCAGCAGCGGCTCTTCCTCGCGGGCTTTCTTCCTCCTCCTGCAGCAGCCAAGAAGAAGCCCCGCGTCCCCTCTCGCCCAGAAGCCGCGGCAAGCGCCTTTACCGCTTGCCGCTTTCCAGCCGGGGAGGGCGCAGGGGCGGAGCCTGCGAGGAGGAGGCGGGGCGGAGCTGCGGGTTGTTGTGGGCCCTTTGACCTTCCGCTCCCAACGGAGACTTCGCCGGGACTCGGCTTCTAACGTTAAAAAACAGCATGTAGTTGGATTTGTATGCCTAATTACCACAATAATATATTAAAGTCCGTGGTTTGATATCTAAATTAAAGCAGCAATTGGAACACTATTGGTTTATTTGGGGACTTATAATAGCATTTGGGGAGGGTGCCTTTGAATCGGTATTGACTCCTAGTGATTGCTGAGACAAGTCCCTGCAGTTTTCTTGGCAAGATTTTAAGAAGTGGTTTGCCATTGTCTCCTTTCTAGAGCTGAGAGTGACTGGCCCAAGAACACGCAGTTGGCTTTGTGCTCAATGCAGGGTTAGAACTTCTAGTTTCTTGCCTGGTACCTTAAACACTACACCAAACTGGCTCTTATAATAACTTAATAACCACATATTCCCTAATTTAAGAAAAACTTGACCCATGAAGACAAGTTCTGCCACCAAGCTTTATCACAAGGGGCTGAATTATGACTGCTGAATCAGCCTGTTCTCACCTCCGCTGCTTTTAAACCATGCGCTTGGAAGGCAGGGCATAATGGCTTGGATTTCCTCTCAAAAGGGAAACACAGGACAGGAAAGAAGGATGCAACTGCTTGTCTTTCCATCATCAAGAGGGAAGAAAAAAAAATCTCAGTGGTGGCTGCACAGCTGAATAATTGGACTTGCTTGCTTCATGGTGGGACATGGTACTTCCTGGATCAGGTGTGACATTTTCCCATCTCAGAGAACAAGCAATTCCCATTTAGGAATCAGCTATACTAAAATGTTCTCATGCTCACACATCCCTCTTAAGTACTGTGGCAAAATAAAGGCTAGTATGGAGCTTGTTGATATAATTTTTATGGGACTCTGTACATTTAAAACAGATTATTTTAAAAGATACTTCAAATTGTTATTTTTCAAGGTCATAGAAGGCAGCTCAATGAGAATATGAGATGGCATGAACTAGATGGCATGAGGACTAGAATGCCTCAGTATAGTTTAACTTTTGCCTATCTCAAAAAGCTATGAATTAAATATAGAACACATGCTTTGCTACCAAACTAAAATTCCTAGAAGAAGCAATGCTTTCATATATAAGATATAAGTATTTGGTGTCTGCACATAGAAATGACAGGACATAATCTGAAGTGGTTTATCTAGCAGTTTTGTGTTTTGTGCTCTAACAGTTCTATGTGGTTTGCTTCACAGAAAGGTTTTCTCATAAAAGTGTTCTGCAGTCTGGAAAGTTTTATCATCTGGCATGTAAACTTGTCTAAATGTTACAGCCACATCCTTATACAAACTAATTATCATTAAAAGATCAACTCAGTCCTTGGTGTTCCTGTATATACATGAAAAATCATTGTTGGATTATTCTTAGTAAAGGCACAATTTTAAAAATACACCACCCTTCTAATTTACAGTTTAAATTAAAAAAAAATCTTGGTTAAGATTGAAGAAATATGAAAGACATGAACGACTTGCATCATTTACTGATATTTAATTTGGTTCTAATAAACATTGCTGAACAACTGAATTTGGTACATAAATTCTATAACTTTTCCCACATGATGAAATAATTAAAATCCACTTTCTGAACCCAAAAGCTTATTCAGATGATCAGTTACAGAATACAGAATAACAAAGTTGGAAAGGACATTTTCTAGTCCAAAGCCTTCCCAAGCAAGAGACCCAATATTATTCAAGAGAAAAGGCTGTCCAATCTCTTCTTAAAAACTTCCAGTATTGGAGCACCCATAACTTCTGAAGGTATGCCATTCCACTGATCAATTGTTCTCACTATCAGGACATTTCTCCATAGTTCTGAGTTGGATCTGTTGCCATCCGTTACTTGTCTTGCCCTCAAGTCCTTTAGAGAGTAGGTTATCCCCCTCTTCTCTGTGATGTACTAATTAGCGGCACTAATACATCATGTGACCTTGATACTAGTCTCTGTTGATGCAGCCTAGGACTGCATTGACTTTTTTGGCAGCTGTAGCACATTACTGGCTAATATTTAAGTGATTGTCCACTTAGGTTTTTCTTGCCTAAGTGTAAAACCTTACCTTTCTCCCCATTGAATTTCATTTTGTTAAATAGGGGGCAGTGTTCAAGTCTGGCAAGACCTTTCTGGATCTTGACCCTTTCTTTGAAAGTGTTGGCTATTCCTCCTAGCTTGATGTTATCTCCAAATTTGATGAATTGCCTTTCTACCTCCATCTAAATGGTTTATGAACATGTTGAAGAGTACTGGGCCTAAGATAAAACCTTGGGGTACCACACTGCATATTTTCCTCCATGTAGATATAGTTCCATTGAGGAGTATACATTGAATGTAGTTTGTCAGCCAGTTACAAATCCTGCTGGAGGTTGGATGCTGTCTATCCCAAATTTTCTATCTTACCAAGAAGTAAGTTGTAGGTTGTTCAGTAAGTCTACTTTGTCAAATGCCTTATCGAAGTCCAAGTATACTATGTCCACATTATTTTGTGGTCACTAATTTATTCACTTTGTCAAAGAATACAATAAGATTTTTTGGCATGATCTGTTTGGCATGATCTCATATTGGCTTTTAGTAATAGCTTTGCTTGCCTCTAGGTCTTCGCAGATCTGTTGCTTAATTACCTTTGCTAGGATCTTGTAAGTGCTGGAAGATGCACCATTTCTTATCCTTAATACAAGTGCTGAGTCCTACCATAATAAAGTGAAGTAAACTTCTTGTTGCATAAAAAGAGAACATGTGAGTCAGTTCAATAGGAAGTTGAAAAGAAGCTGAATATGAAAGTTTCTTGTTAGTGAATGTGGTAGGACTTTCCAGCACTTTTAGTTTGCACAATTTATGAACTATCTTTTGAGAGAAATCAATGCATTATCATGCCTGAGATGGAAATATAGAATTGTTCCTTCCTTAAAAGCAGGTGATACATTTATTCAGATACAACACTTCAGAATAAATTCTGTATACCTTTCCTGTTTCTAATTATTTGATTATACCTTTTCATTTTGCTAAATCTCTTTCAATTTGATACCAATTTATACTTATTTTATTTTATTATTATGCATTGCTTTGATAATCTATATGCATGAAATAATACACAGATTAGTGTTAGTATAACAAGGTAAACAAGTCTGAAATTTCAATTGTGGTGGCTTATTTAATTTTTGTCTCACATTTTCTTCAGCAAATGCTGAAGGGAATGTATGTGCCTTTCTTCTCCATAGTTGATCCCTGTTAACAATCAATGTGTTCATTAATAGAACACAACTGCTGCATTTTCATAACATGCTATGTCCAAGTCAATAAACCACAGTATGGCTTCACAAAATGGCCTGATACACACAAAAAGCTAAATCAGTTGCTTAGTTTCCACAACAGTCTGAGGTATATTTAGCCCCACATCACCATGATTGGATATATTGTATGAATCTGGGCATGTATGCCTTTTCCTTTTAATAACCTATGAGATGGAATGGTGGAGATGGAGAGAGAGATCCATAGATTTACCTAGTGAGTCTAGTTTCACGGCTGATTGATTCTGGTTGTGGATCTGATTGTTGCCAATCCTGGTCTAGTATTTCAGGCACCACTAGTAATTCTGGTAATGAATGGGATGCAAGACTTATCATGAAAAAACATGAAAGTGTTAGTTTCTTAATGTGGTGTTGTTCAGCTCTGTGGTGGTCTTACTACTCTGAATCTCTCTACATATGACAGATTATAATTTAGACAGTGCAGATACATCTGCTAAGTAATGTATGTAAAGGAGACTTTTCAGATTTTATTCTGGGAATAAAATTATTTATGAAAAGGCCTATAATAGCAAAGTAGTTTTCCCAAAATAAAGTTTTCCCAATTACCTTGTTTCCTTGCTGATGCACAAGGGAAGAAGAATTTGGCTCTTCTGGAAAAAACGTACTTAGGGTTTAGGGAACAGCTATAAGCGCTTCTCATTACCATCCACTCTTTTTATTCCTTTCAGAAATTCTTTGTGAAATGTGGCCTTTAGCAGATACACTAATGTTGAAAGGGCTTCCTGAACTCTACTATTCATCATAGTAAACTCAAATTAATACTATTAAATATGGGCTGAAAAACTCTGGATGCCCACAAGATGGCAGAAAGAGATGCACTTTTAATTCCTTTAATTCCTTGTTTGCATCAAATGTGCCACCCACTCCTTGCACTTGAAATGTATGATGGTATGAAATTTGTTGCTCTGATGCCAGGGCTGGTGCTGTCTTTTCTATTTTAGTGTGTGGGAGATTAAGAAAAGCAACAAATGGATTGCTCTGGCTGTTTCCCTCATGCCAAGCATTACCTGCTAACTGAAAAAGAATGACCAATCACTCTTCCCTAATGGGTGGGTGCTTGGAATGACATGTTTCACCCCCACTAAATTGCCTTAATAATGAGAAACAGTAGTTCATACTTATGACTTATCTGGCTGTTTTTGAACACAAGTAAATTTTTGTCCTAAACTAGTCTGGCTGACAGGTTGCAGAGTTGGAAAAGACTAAGCCTGACTAAATCCTCCCAGAGGATAAGGAAAGGCAATTGAGGATCACTGGGGGAATCTCTTGCTGGAAAGATCAGATCTACTGTAAGCGCCAGAACCTGCAACATGTTGTAGCCTCCAAGCCTTTGACGATGCTCAGTGGGAGAGCAATGCCCTAAATGGCATAAAAGCACAAGCAAAAAGGCTGGGCTCCTGAAAAGCAAAAGGGATTCCTCACAGTGGATCACTCCCTCTTAGGAGGTTAAAAGCACCAGCTGTGGTGCCTCTGCATAAAAGACTTGGGCAGAAGGCAAGTGATAGATTCGTATTAGATATGTTAACTACTGTTCCTTCTGCTTATGTAAATGCCTGAAATTTAGTTTGCTTTTGGACTCTTTATGTTT